TAATTTTACCTGGTCAAATGTGACGTCTTTATCCAAAGAAGGGTGTCGCTTCTTTAAGTGCCTGTCCAAGATGTCTCCGAACCAGTTCATGAACTCATGTCCTGGGCATGCGCCCCTGGCCGTGATGACATCAATAAACTTGCCGACGTTCGCCATGCCGGGAATCCAGGCCATCTTTGTCCAACGGGTATCTGGGAAAAATAGGAAATGACGTCATTGATTTCGTGTCTATGGCATTTGGGTATAAGAAATACCCTACTGTTAATATTGTAAATATGTAAATTTTCATATGTTAAATAAAATCTGTCAACAATTAAATCAACCAGGGGCAAAGTAAAGACGACAGTCATAAACAAACAAACAAACGAAAAATGGTACGCGTTAACATCTAGAAAACAACACGATGACAATTCCAAAAACAGCCGAAAAAAAAACAAAAGTGTGTGAAATTGTTTTGAGGTACATGCATTTTGTATTGGGTTTTACTATTTTCCGATAACAACCGTACACAGTAAGCAAAACTCATCTCGTAAACAATGGATAACAATGTAATAACAAAAGAAATCAATATGAAAAATGGGTTTTCGTATATTATGTTATTTGGGGATTGTTTTTGGATGTTTTGGGGGAGGAAAGTTTCAATCAACCGATTTACTGTGAAACCTGAAGCACCGGTCTAATATTGACATACCAAGCACGACTTCCAGTAGGTTCTTTTCGCTCAGCTCCTTCAGCATCTCCTCTGACGTCAGCCCGATGGCGAGCAGGGTGGCAGTGATGGCGCCTGCGCTGGTCCCGGCAAACCGCTTGATCTGGGGCATTATCCCGGCATCCTCTAGGAACTAAAGTGGGCAGGTGTGTTTTATTTGTTTGTTTATGTCTTTGGGTATGGTAAGTATCAAAACAGTATTCAGCTTCTAATAAGTAAAAAAAAAACAGGCATGTCACCTAAAAGCCGTTTCCAGGTATTACGTTTTAAACATACAAACAAAATTAGTATTCAAATATGTAATTAATATAAGGTTACATCAACTTACATGTATGTATGTTACTTGGAGCTTAGACACTTCATTTCCGTATTCAATGTATACCCAGTGGTCATAACATCTCAATGTACCTTGCAAGCTCCTATGTAAGCGATTCCTTTTGCTCCTCCTCCTTCCAACACCAGGTTCTCAAAAGGAAACTCTTTGTCCTTGAACCGCTCTCCGATGGTGGCGGGGAGTTTGGGTGCGGCTGGTTTAGACGGCGTTTGTCCCATGGCTGTAACTACAGGTTTTCTTCATTAAAGCTAGTCATAAGATAAATTTAACAAATGAATGCCATGTATTTGTGAAAAATTGGGCCATTAGGGAATTTTTTATCTTCTTCATCGTGACCTTCCTGCTGTTTTTATTTATTTTCTTTTATTGTCTTACTTAGGCAATTGCCACGCATATATTAGGAAATAGTATAACCTTCTCTTGGACATTTAACCTAACTTCCTGTCAGCGTCTAGCCTGTAATAAATACAAATATTCGACCGTGCCGTCTTGCTCGCAGACTGCGGTCAGCTCCTCTGACAGACTGGACATTTCCGAGAAAAGTGCGTCAATATTTGTAAAGAGTTTCTAACTCATGGTCTGTATCTGACCTACTGTAGCCTCTTGTAGTTCCTTCGTTTGATCAGTTAAGGACCAACTTAACTAGCTTTATTTAGGTCTGGAGGTAGCAAATTCAGTGTATACGTAGCTCCGCTAGCAACCGGTAAATAGCCCAACTGATAGAGTTCTCTTTGTAACCGGTAGGTCGTGAGTTCAAACCCCGGCATAGAGCCTAAGAAGCTCTGTACTAAGCTGAGTAGGGTGACTCTTTGCTGATTACATACTAGGCAGTGTAACATAAAATATATGTATCTCTCACAACGAGACCTGCAGTACAAGCTGCACTAGGGGCTAACTTTCTTAAAAATAAACTGTAGTTAAGACTACAGGTACCCATGCGAAGTATGGCTAAAATATAGGTGGGGGGCGTATTAACTTGATCGACCTTAACCTTGAGTTTCTTTTCATTCAACGACAAATCTAGGCAAGATGTAAAACGTGTTCAAATTTCACTTCACAAATCCAAACGGTTGCTGAGATTTAGCCAACTTTGCACTTCGGCACCTGTCATAGGGCTAGGCCCCGTATAGGGCCAATAGGCGGGGGCATTTAGTGGTCTCATTATTTGGTCAAATATGCTATTCTTTTCATCCCTTTTTTTTATCATTGGTACATACTCTATCGTACAAGTTCAAGATTCTGAGTGTGGCCGGCCACGTTGTACAACATGACCAGTGAGTGAACATGGTGACCGTCACAGAGTCTTTCCCAGCCTAAATCAACAAAAAGTGATGAGTAAGAAGACCCCCTGACTGCCCCTGAATCCGAGTCTGTCTCACCAAACCTCCTTGCAATTGGTCTTTAATAATCGATGGCACAAACAAACTGTGATAACTGTGATGATTCCCAAAAATGCGAAAGAAAAAAAGGATATTCCAGAAATCCCCAAATTACCCACAATTTGCTTCTGCTGTGGAGTTCGCCAGTTACGAAACAGCTTCTGTCATATGATTTTGAATAGGCATAACACCAGAGGTCAATAGTACTTTTTGAGGGGTCATGAGCATGCCCGGATGGTAGGACAGGTGCAGCTTTAGAGAATAGCATTTTTAAAGTACAAGCAATAGTAATTTCAAACAATAGCCTACCTATTCACGCCTACATAGGAGAGCTTTATCTGACGGGAAAACTGTATTAGCGGTTGTTTTTTTGGACAGAGGAGTGAAAGAACCATAGCCACCCCCCTTGGCAGAACAAAACGTTTACTATTCCTATGCACAACGTCAAACGCCTTTATTTTTGCAGCAATAGGCCTCACGGCCTGTCTGCAAATCCTCTGCAACATTCAACAGTACGTATATAGGCATTCAGAAAGAAGAGGCTCCTACAGTAAAAAAAAAAAAAAACTAAATTAATGTACTACCTTGGAAGAATGGGTGAAAGAAGAAGGTCACGGTGCTGACATGTAGAGAACACATTTAAAAGCTCCCCACAGAAAGCTACCAAACACCTTCTGCCAAATCATTTTGAATAGGCATGACACCAAAGGTCAATGACATTTTTTTTCTGAGTGCACTGTGTCATCAAACCACGTCAACAGACATTGTCGGACCATTGCTATTATATAAGTTTTACCCTTTAAGGCAGTGATTAGCCGCTTTAAGATGTATCAACAAAACCCTTCATGGAATGTCTGATTTTTTTTAAATAGAGGTGCATCATTGTGTAAAACCCCAGGTGTCACACCTGGATGCCTGTGTGCCCGCAGGCGAGGGGACAGTGTTGTCGGTCTACTTTACCTGTGACATTCCAGACCAAAATCCATTAAATTAAGCATGATCAATGTAAACACAACCCTCACAGGCAGTGACGTGTCCCCGACCCTCAAGTATTGAGTCCATGGGTATTCATGTTGGTTACTGTTGTACCCAGGCGAGTACGCCTGGGTTCTGCGTACACTAAAGTAGTCGGGCATTTTTAACTACTATCAGTACGCTATCAGAACAATTTTCTTCCACTGAGAAAAATTATTCTCCACCTAAGAAAAAAAATCTTGTCCATGAGAGATGAATTTTAAGAAACTGCATTTTGTCATATTTTTTGCGGTAAAATTTATTTTCTTATGTACCTTGAACTAAATACCCTTAGATTAATATTCTTGCAGTAAGAATTTCTAAGTTTTCTAGAAAACCATTCTGTACGCAAGAAAAGATTTTCTGAACTAAGATCTAACTCTTTTTGTAGCAAGAAAACAATTCTGCCCACAAGAAAAGATTTTTTAAACTAGGAGCTAACTGTTCTTGCAGCAAGAAAAAATTCTGCCCACAAGAAAAAAATTCTTAAACTAAGAGCTGACTCTGTTATTGTAGCAAGAAAACCATTCTGCCCCAAACAAGAAAAGATATATATAGTTGTACCTAAATATAAACCAGACAATGATGCTGTATAGTAACTTAATGTTATTTTAAAAAGCCCTTGGACAGTATACAGATGTTTTTACCGCATTGATTTTGTACAATGCACATAATAAAACTTTTAAAATCAGTCAATCAACATTCTTGGAATGGAAACAGTTTAACATTAGCTTTCAAAATATTGTGTGCCTTACAAGCCATTATGATTTCAGAATATAGATTATATCACATTCTTTAACATATTCAGCAAAAACTGCAGTTTCACGGCGGTCTGTCACTACGGCATTCTTTCCCGTTGCTATGCGCGTTCGAAAAGGTATCGGGTTACAAGACGCTATTTTGGCCTGTTTTGGACTACCCGTAAAATATTTGAAAATGAACAAAAAATATTTAGGGGTAAATTTCGTCAAATTAAAATGAAATTATCGTCTTAACATCCTTTAAATGTTAGCTTTTTATGTTAAATCACTGATTTTTAAAAATTTCGCTCAGAAAGACGATTGTTTTCGGGTTTCCGAGCACAAGTCATGCCGCGTTTTTAGGCAAACATCGTTCAAACCTGGCTACGTATATTACCCCAGATCCCCGATCTTTATATTTTTCGCAGACTAGGAATAAGATAAAAAATCGTGTTTTAGGGATCTTTAATTTCTGATTGTAAGTCTAGTTTTTGTCGACATATTGGTGAAAAAATGGCGTTTTTTGACATTTTTCTCACAAAATTACCCATAATTCAAAATTGAGGCCATTTTTCAAAAATCCCTAAGACACGATTTTCGGGACAACCGTGGCAGTCATTTTGAGCCGTAAATGGAGTATGTTTGACTCTCCATGTTTCCAGGTTTGAACGAGTTTTTGGAGACATGTCATATCGCCAGAAAGTGTGCATTGTGTTATTCATACAGGTGTAAAGAATCATTACAGTATTCAAGGTCACCCAAGGATACGACAGTAGCTTCGCTACATGTTACATACCCACCAAAAATTATAGCGGACATGTGCTGTCCAGGAAACTGTTTGTATCTATAGAAAAGTGTTGTTTTTTATCTGTTGCGAGGCATCCAGGCTGAAGGGCTTGTTTTGCCGCTTTATTGTAAATGACCGCAGGTGACCCCGAAATAGAACGCGGGTTCGATTCGAATTGCCCAGATCGAACACGATCGAACACAGTTCGGGTTCTATGACATGTGGGAACTTTTCAGCCCAGATTTTACCACCGTGTTTTGGCATGATAGAATAGGCAAAGTCACACCCTTTGGACAACTGAAAAAAAACAGGAAAGACCACCATTGCTTTACATGTATATGTCACAGGGTAGATTGTAATCCAGGGGGATCCGGAATCCTCCTAGGGGAGATTGGAATCCTCATCTCCCCTAGGGGAATCCCTAGGGGAGACTGGAATTCAAGATTTT